GGAGAAAAATGCAGAACAGGTCTCAAGGATACATTACAGAGGGTTAGGAAAGAAAATGAAAAAACGGACCGACACTGAGTGGGTGCTGACTCACAGCAACCCTATAGGGCAGGATAGAACTGCCCTGTGAATTTCTGAGATTGTAACCCTTCACAGGAGTAAAACGCCCCATCTTTTCCCCTCAGAGCAGCCCCTAGCAGCCCAACAGGTAAGGAGGGATGGAAACCGGAAACACCGGGAGGACGTGGGCTAAGTGAGGGTGCATCAGAGGGATTGCAATGGAGGATCTAAAGCACAATGGAAAGCCACAAAGAAGGTGATTCTAGGACTGAGGTGCTACCCATGGCAGATTAGAGTACGAAGGGGAGGCAAAGAGGGCCTGCTGAGCTGTAGCAAGGTCTGAAACTAGCATTCCCTGGGGGACACATATCCTACAAGCAACGATGCTCTGTGGACACACACCCCGCCGTCCCTGCCGCAGCCAAGAGTCAGGCGCTGCTTCTCACCTTGCTTGCCGTAGTCTCCCAGGCCTGCAGCCAGGAAGTCCACACTGTGAATTTGGCATAAGACTCTGTTCATGGCAGTGTAGACAGCCCGCCTCTGGCTGGGCTCCAAGCCTGGCAGAGAAGGGTCTTTGTAGATGAGTCCAGGGCAGTACTCCATCAGATAGAAGGGGGTGCCGATGATACTGGGGGGGCATGGACAGGGCATGTCAGAAGCCGTTGGTGAGGGCACTGCCTATGAAATGGTTCTGGGGTGTAGGCCCAGGGGGCTGGTCATTTCCTTTCTCCCGGGCATGTAAGCAGTGGGCTTGTGAACCACCCCACCTCCCCCTATGGCCCCCCACCAAGCTGACCTACACATGAAGCTGCCTAGACTACTTTGCCTGACTTCACTCTGACCCATACATAGAAGCCATCAGAATGGGTCTAAGTGTGACGATACAGGAAAGCATTGGAGTTGCCCAGAAGCAGGTTCAAATCCTGTTTCTGATCTTTCCTGGCAGTGTGATCATGGGTACCTCACTAACCTTGAGATTTCTTCAATGTTCCTACTTCAAAGGGTCGCTATCAGAATTAAGAGCAAGGACCACCTGCACAGTATCTGGTTCTAATACAGGTTCATTCAACATCCCCTCTGGTTAGTAAGGCTATCTTTCTTTGGGGGCATGAGGACATACATATCAGTCTATAGTGCACGTTAAGTGTCGGAGCCCTGATGGTGCTGTGGGCTAGGCTGGCAGTGGACTGCAAGGTTGTCAGTTCAAACCATGAGGGGCTCCACAGGAAGAAAGATGAGGCTCTCTGCTCTCATAAAGCTTTACAGTCTGGGAAACCCCATATAGGGAATTTTTTTTTAATATATTGTGAAATATTTCTTTCTTTTTTTTTTTCCATCTAGGGAATTTACTCGATGGCAGTGGGTTCCGTTTCAGTTGGAATCGTGTTTACCATAGACATGGGGTTAATCTCTTAGTTATTAGTAGAAATTAGCTTACTACTCTAAAAACTCATTTTGAAAACTCTGCTCTTCTAGGTGATCACCCTGACTTGCAAAACTATTATAAAAGAATTATTGGTGCAATTTAGAAAATTCACATATGGGCTAGACATTAGAAATTATAGCATTACTGTTCCTTATAGTAATGATGCTGTGGTTTTGGAAAGGTGTGTCTTTATTCTCAGGAGACGTCTTGTGTGGGGTCTGCAATGTACAAACAATTCAGCCAAAAATAATCATCACACACATACATGGCTGTCAAGTTCAGCTCACCGCCACCTGGCAGGACTGAGTAGAACTACCCCACAGGCTTTAATATTTTCGGAAGCAGATTGCCACCTTTCTCCTACAGAGCAGCTGGTGAATAGGGAGAGTATGGCAAAAAGTTAACAATGTCTTAACCTGGAGTAAATGGGTATTCTTTATGCCATTATGTTTTCTTTTAACTTTTCTGCCTATTTCAAACTTTTTGTACTTAAAAAGTGGAGGAGAAATGAGACACTCAAGAAGCATGCTACAATGTAATGTTTTAAAAGTTTAGAAAGACCACCACAATCAACAAAAACACAATAAAAATGAACAAACACAAGCTAATGGAACTACAACTCACTGCCATCGGGTCGATTCCGCCTCAGCGCCCTTCGAGGTAGAACACTCGTAACCTCGTGGGGGAAGGTGCTGTAGGTGTCTTTTCTCTCCCACTCAAATTTCACTTGTTTGGACCTCAACAACCTGAGAGGTGAGTTTAGTACCTGGGGCCTCCTCTCTCGTACCATGAATATGCGGTGGAACCAAAATCTTGAGCATTACCTTGAATCTTCACAGAGGTCCAGGACTTTGGGGACAGGCACTCCAGCACTGGAAAGGGTTTTCAGAATCCTTGCAGAACAAATAGAAATGGTCGTGACTGTTGGCTGAACTGATAAGACATTCGGGAACCTGTTTTCCTGATTTAGAAATTAGTACATGCAGAAATCAAAATGGAATTCTAAAAAGTCATCCGTTAACCCAAAAGGAGTCAAGAAAGGAAGAACCACTATCCACTGATATAGAGGTGGCTTTCGTTTTTAGGGTGACTCTGGATACTACAAATAACACACACGCACATACTTTAATACTCAGAAAAAAACTACAGGTTGCCTCCTCAGAAGAACCCCCACGGTTTAATCATCGGTCCACGTCACACTCAGCCCAGGCCAAGTTCTAGCAGTTGGAAAGTCCAAAGGAGGGGCGGGGGGCAGTGAGAACAATGTGGGAAGCCTTTGTTCTTTCCTACCATCCCCACCACCACCCCGAGAGTTCCTTCTGTAATCAGAGGTTTTCGAGTTGGCTCTGACCCCACCCCCCATGCCTGTGTTCCATAGAGCTGATAAATGGCTGATTTGTCCGAAGTTAATCACCAGGCTGTTCTTCCGAGGCACCTTAGGGTGGAGCCTACCCTCTAAGCTTCAAGTCTTCCTATTTATAAAACTATGTTAAGTTGTAAAAAATTTGATTTCATTACTTGGAGAATTGCAAACCTAAGTAAACACAGGTAGAGCTGCTCGCATAATGGAGTCCCTTGCCCCCATCACCTGGCTCCTGTAGTGGTCACCTCACAGCCCACCCGCATAGCTCACCCACAGCCCGATGCTTCTGCACCATCCTCCCCTGGCTCCCTTGTGCATCAGAGTAGAGCGGCGGGGCATTCAGAACTGATCTTGCAGAAGTAACCAGCTTGTCTTCTCCAGCCTTTCAGTTTGCAGCCAAGCACTTTTCAGCTACAGGCCCAGGAATGGATCACTCAACATCGGCTTTCTAAAAACATCTGGTCTATAGACCAGAGCAAACGGACTCTGAACAAAATGAGGTTGCATGCTCTTCTGTGAGATAACTTTGTGAGCCACAGTGTGTTGTCTACTGTCTCAAGGCACTTCTACGGAAAGCTCTCCAGGGCCGTCCTGCCCTGTCCTGGACAGCCGCAAAGGGTGGGATTGGGCTCGATGGGCACAGGTTTGTTTGGGGTTAGCTTGTCCACTTAGCTGCTGAGCCGGTGGTTGGGGTGCCAAATTGGGAGGCATGTAGCTCTGAGAACTCACCTGAACTCCCTCTCTACTGCATGGGCTGATGGAAGGAGTTTCCCAGGGGGTTTCTTCCTCAGAACCAGCTGGTGGTCCGCCAGCCTGATGTAGTAAGTCGGGTTTGACTGCCCATGACTGAACTGGCGGAGTTCCAACGGACCTGCAAGTTGGGGAATGAAACTCAAGCCAGAGCTGGATGGCAGAGGGGGGCCGACGTCCTTTCTTTTCAAGGGGTGTTGCATTTGAGAGGCAGGATGTTCCGAATGGAGTCAGTGAGGGAGAAAAGCTTCTCCTCCCCTGGCACTGGAGTGGCCAAGCCCCAGGCCGCACCTGTGTGGCCACAGCCATGCCATTGGCCCCACGGTGCTTGCCTCTTTGTTCCGGGTCTGATTCTGCCCTCCTTGAACTCCTGAGCTGCACAGAAAACCTTTTCTGTTGAGTGTGTCAAACGCACCCACAGCCACAGCCACCCACCCTGCCGACAGAGAAGGAAAAGTGCCCTTGCCCACCGCCTGGCACCGAGGTGACAACTGGCAGCAGCTATCCTCCCTCCATGTGAACCTGGGCTGCTCTCCTGAGAGGCAATTCCCTATCTACTCCACCGAGTTCAGTGACTCCCTGACAGAACATCCAGGAAACCCCCACTTCATGACCAGACTGGGCTCCTGACACAGACGCAGGGGACCAATGGGGGGTTTGCCCACGATGCTGTCCTCAGCTTTGGAAAAGCATGCTGGGAAGCTCCTTAGGGAACAGCTTTCTTCAAGAATCAGGTGGGTGATGTAAAACCTCACCCAACTGAAAAGCCAGGCCCACTGCCGTGGAGTTGACACCAACTCTATAGTGACCCTAGAGGGCAGAGTAGAACTGTCCCAAAGGGCTCCCTTGGCTCTCATCTCTACTGACGCCACCAACTGCCTCACCTCCCTCCCTCGGAGCAGCTGCTGGGCTCAACCTATCCTAGCAGCCGAGCGCTTAAAGGAGTGCGCCCTGGGGTTTCTAAAATGCTATCACCAGGCAAGACGGTCCCCAATTGCTCAGCAGGCACCTGGTTTTCTGAGGGTGGGATGGGACGAATGAGCGTGGGGCCTTCGAGAGGGCGGAGACAGGGGGTCACGTTTTAGAAGTCACCTTCACCTTCAGCTGTTGTCTCAAAAGTCACAACCACTGGAATGCCCCTGCACTGCAGCCACCAGGCCCCTTGCCTCGGCCACACCTCACTCTCGGGAGGAGGAGAGGGATGAGTACTTTGGAGGACTTTTTCCTCTAAGTGAAACCCGACCCTTCCCTTCTGGCACTGCCTCTTTTTTTCCAGCATGTTCCACTGGGTTGTGAGAGTTAGAGCCGGGCTGGAGCGTGGCCTTGGGCAGAGCTATCCAGATACAAAAACTTAAATACCTGTGGCTTTGGTCCCCAGGACACCTTTGAGGTACCGCTCCAAGGAATCTGTTGATATTTCCATTGTCTTCCTCACTGGGCAAGTGTTCGGAACAGCTGCTCTCAGCGTAAAACCCAAAAGGCCCTCTAAGTCCTTGACTGCAGTGCCTGGGTCGTTGACCTGGTTTCAAAGGGAATACTGAGCATGTACCGCCCATCAGCCCTGGCCTCGCCTGCCATCCTTCTCTAAGAGGACAGCCACCATTCTCTGAGCAAGGGTGGCAGCGGAATGAGCTCCCTCCCCCTTTCATTCCTAACCGAATTAAGCTTTTAATCTGCTGGAAAGCAGGCAGTTAAAGGTCCATGATAGTCCCTCACACTGTGAGAGGACAGAGACTTGTGTGGCCTCATCTTGTCGGCTCCACCACCCCAATGCAGAAGCTAGGCTAAGGTCTCTTCTTCCCAGCTGTGACGCTGGGTGGCCTGTGGGGCTGGGAGTTGCAGGCTGACGCCCCCACCTAAGTGTCTGAACCTGCCCTCCACTTCCTGGCTTCTCTCGCTTCTCCCACTGCCTTCCTTCGTATCACACTTTCCATCCCTCTGCTCTCCTGAAAATCTAGCCTCTAGCCTCGTGGATTTCATGATTCATGGAAGTCACAGAAAGGCCATGAAAGACGCCCAGCAAGGCATGCCCACAGCAGGGCTACAGCTGCGAGCACCTGTCAGATGACTGTCGTGTTTTGGTTTTCTTTTAAGCTGAAATCCAGCTTTTTAATAACCTATATAGATGCAGGACAGTCCTGTCTCATGGTCCTATCCCATTAAACATCTCTCACCAGGTCCTTGGGAAACAAGACCTTAGACCTACACCCGGCTCTTGTTCCCTTTCCCATGGTATCAGAGGACACGTGCAATAACCTAGCTGTGGACGGCATGATGGCTGGCCACTACTTCTGCTCTTTGCCTTGATTCCACTCTGTCCTAGTGGCAGCCTGGGGCTGAGCTTCCTCAGATGAGGATAAGGACCGCGACAGAGAACATGGAGGGGACGGGAAGCAGCAGGGTGGCAGAGGTGGTCTATGGTCAGGTGTGTCTCCAGGTGTCTTTGGTTTGCTGGGATTCGTGTCCATGGAGACAGAATTACCTTCACAGTGTGCATCCCGAGGCTGGCTGCGGCTTTGAGATTCTGTCCCAGGTCGTCCAGAAAGACCGACTGGGAGGGCTGCACACCGAGCCGCTCCAGGCACAGCTGGTAGATCCTGGGGTCAGGCTTACAGATCCCTTCCAGGCAGGATTCCACGACCTATGGGAGCGACAGCAACAAGGGGCACTCCCTCGCACTCGATCGGGAACCTCTGAAAAGCTCGGGGGATTATTTACTTAGAACAGGGAGCTCTAGAGGGTGATGACATAACATGAGTGACTGAGGAACACAGGGTGTCCACCTGGGGGACATTCCAGGAGGTCACCGTGGTCTCGTGCACACACTGTCACTGGGGAACTGGGAGTCATGGGAGCTTTCCCACTGAGCTCCGCCCGTCAGAGGGGGCAGGCGGCTCCCCAGAGCAGCAGGAGAGCTGAGCATGTCTGTTTCATGGGCCGATTTCACCACTTCCCCACAAAAAAACAACGTTGCTATAAAACCAATGTGGCCTTACTGTCTACGTATCAGATGATGAGAAATAATAAATTGTAGACAGAGGGGAGGGCTGACACTGGAGAGACTGTCACCAGCAGCGACATGGTCTCATTCATGCTAAGGGCGGGCCTAGGGCTTCAGGCCGAATCTCATGTGCTGGACGCTTGGGAGAATCTTGAGAAAGCTGTCTTGGTGGGAAGTTATGTGACTGAGCACCTCCCTCCAAGTCCACTCTTCCACCACTTCTAGAGGATGGGTCTTAGATGGTCACCCACGTCTGACAGCCGCACCTCTGATATGCCCGAGAACACAGCCCAACCTCCGACTCACTCTTGCACCCACCCGATGTCTGAGGTCTGTGAGCCCAAGGACAAGCTCCAGGGGCCCCATGCTTCACTTGTGCTGTGGCTGGGCCCGAGCTGGCTGGCGTCTCAGGGAAAGACGTCCACCTCCACACTGACACTGTTGTCTGCCAAGGGCCCAGCAGGAGCTATGCCTGCCAAGAGGGGCTCCCCTTACAAAAACACGGCACAGGAGGCAGCAGGGAAGCAGAGTCATTCAGCAACCAGCGCGAGAGGCATGAATTCAGGGGCCTGGGCCAAGCGCCAATAACCAGGCTTGGGCCTCTCACAAGGGGAGAATGATGTCTTACGGAAGGGAAAACGTTTTTATGACTGAAATTTTCTAAGATTCCCAGGCTTCTCTTTCCGTTTGATTTTGCACATGGTGACGTGAAGCCCGTTCAGGGTCTCTGTTGCTCTAACTGGGAACTAGAGGGCCAAGGCCAGTGTTCATCCAGATACAAACTAGGTAACAAATGGTCTCAGTTATCAAGGGGCTGTTCCAGGAAGGGGGAGGGACAGCTCCTTCTCAAGGCCAGTGTGAGTGAGGGAGGCTGTGAGACAGTGAATACTGTGGACAGAGCTGTAGCTCAGTACATTCCCCTCCCACCCCCACCCACAGAGCTTTCAAGAAACACACAGGCCAGGCCCCAGCCAGACCCACTCAGTAAAAACCTCTAGGCAAGTAGCGTGGGCACCTGCCCCTTTCCGAACCCCGGGTTATGCCGATGTTAGTCAGTCTTGAAAGCCTTGACTGTAGTCCCTTTAGGGGGCATAGACACACGCTGGAATGGTCAGATCGAGGACCCAGGCGTGGAGGACATGCTACTCCCTAGAGTCAAACCAATTACGTACCTCCCCCAATGCAGGGAAAGAATCAGAAAAGGGCTCAGTCAATGAAATGTACAGCCCTTGAATTATTCATTTCCCCAGATGAATCTATCATGTTCAATGTGGCCCACCTGAAATGTGACCAGTCTTCACCCTGGAGGGCAAAGGTCCTTAACAAAGAATCTCTGGACTTTGTCGTGACTCACACTGAATGAACGAAAGCAGGAGTGATGATTATGCAAGTCACAATCACCTGCCAAGAACTCCCATCTCACCTGCCTGGATAATGACCTTTTTTCACCCAGGGAGCTGGGAATGGCCCACGGAAGCGCATTCCTGGCATGGAAGACCACCTCTGGGCATGTGTGTTCTCAGGGGCCATCCAATATGGTAGCCACTAATCCTATGTAGTATCTAAATTTAAATAAGCTGGAAATTAAATTTAAAATTGCAACGATGTTCCTCGGATGCCCTAGCCCCATTTCAAGTGGTCAAGAGCCACCCCAGGGCTAGGGGAGACCACATTGGGTAGCCCAGATAGAACAATGCCATCATCGCAGAAACTCCCATTGATCAACACTGGTCTAGGGGTCAGAACCACATAATTAGAGGAATACGGGGTTTGGCCTTAGAAGATAAACAGCCCAAGGGCCCACTGAGATGTGATGGTTGACAGCAACGTTTGTGCTGTCTGAAGATCAGATCATCCAAGTCCAGAACTGAAGGGTTGTAAGCAGCCATCAGATCCCCTTAATGTCTGTCCTTGCTGAGAGCACAGTGTTGTGGACCTAAGTCTAAGCCTGACTTAGTCAAGCGCCTGCATGAAAAACCCATCCACTCAATTCCTGCTAAAGGCACTGAATAAGGCTGGATCCTGAGGCAAGGGCATGGGCCCAGCTGCCATGGTTCTGGTCTTACCACATCAGCTTACCACATCAAACTGCTTCCGGTCCAGGGGCAAAAAGCTTTTCCCACTGGGAAGATAAAAGTTATTGCTCAAGACTGCCGTCTGAAGGCCATTTGCACGAATCTGGGATATGGCTTCGGTCATCACTGGGAACTGCTTGGCCACTTGTTCACTGGTCAGCAGAGAGAAAAAGGAGTCCACAGGCACCGTGGTCCGAGACTGGGCATGGGAGGGCAGGGGAGAGAGCCGGCAGTCAGTGAGCGCAGGGATCAATGATCTCCAACAGCAAAGCCCACTTTCTCCTCGCTCCTGCCATTGTCCCCCTCCACCTGAGTTCCAAACTGTGCAGATGAGGTTTGACAAGAGACTAGGAAAGAGACAGACACGGTGAGAAACGGGCATTTCCCATCAATTGGCCAGCTGGATGAGTTTGTGATTTCACTCTCAGGTGGCCGACTTAAAAAAAAAAAATCATAACATCCAAAGATAATACGTTAAACTGGAAAAAGAACAAGGGAATTTAAAAAGTTTGTGGGAAAATGGAATGAAAATAGGAGGGGGCTCTTCCGCAACCTGTTTGAGGCGCCCTCGTCAATTAAATAGGTGTAACCTACTTTGTGGCGTCTCCAGGTGGTGCAAACATGTGCTGAGGTCTTGGAGGGTCAAGCTCACCCAGAAGCATCTCAGAAGACAGACCTGACAATTGATGGCTGAAAACTCAGCCGCTGAAAACCGGGAGGAGCCCAGTTCTACCTGGACACACCTGGCGTCGCCACAGGTTGGTGTCGACGTGATGGTAACTGGTAAGTCTACACGGGGGCTTCAGAAAGGCATGAATGGAATAAAAAGATAACGGAGTTTTTCCACAAGCGTTTTGAGTCCCCTCGTACTTGATGATGCCCCAGAAGGCATCTAACTGTTACCCTGCCCCAGCAGCACCTTTACAAACGTTAGTTCCTGAATCTCTAGGTTGTGTTTTGAAATTCATGTGGGTTTTGAAAGCTCTTGTTCTGCCACATTCTGAAATGTCCCAAGGCAACACTACTATTGTGTATATTTTGTAACAGCTTTGTTGATAAACAATTTACATGCCAGGCGACTCACAGCTGAAAGCATGCAATTTAGCAGTTTTTAGTAGACGCACGGAGTTGTGTGCCCATCACCACAGCTATCTAAATTTACAACAGCTTTACCACCCACCCACCCCACAATCCTGCACCCCTAAGCCATCACTCCCCCTCACTTCTGCCCTGGCCCTTTGTCAGCTAGTCCTTTGTGTGTCTCTACAGCATTTGTCTATCCTAGACATGTCCTAAGAACAGAATCACTTTACGTGGCCTTTTCTGACTGGCCTCTTTGACTTGGTTTTGTGTTTTCCAGTTTTCAGACAACTTGAGGCTGGCCCAGGGTCAGTGTTCCATTCTGCTTGGACACAGGATTGCTATGAGAGGGGACGGACTAGACTGGCATGCCCAACAACAACAATACATGTCTGTAGGTTTCTTGTCGGCGTTGAAGGACTTAAAAAAATGCATAACACGAGGAAATAGTTAATGTTGTTATTGCTTTAAATAACCTTTCTGATGAGAGGCTTCACACAGATGGTCATGGTGTCTTAGGTGAGCACTGTCTGCTCCAGGGGCCCGGGTGGTATCTGGGTTAAGCATGGGCTGCTAACCTCAAGGTCGATGTTTCAAACCCACCAGCTGCTCCATAGGAGAAAGGTGAGGCTATCTGCATGCATAAGGATTCAGTCTCGGAAACCCTAAGGGGCAGTTCTACTCTGTCCTGTAGGGTTGCTGTGAGTCGGAACTGGTTGGCTCTGAGTATTCCAGATGGGTGGTTAAAGTTGAGCTGACAAGGGAAGGGAACCCTTTTTCATCTGCAGTATAACAAACTTAATGGGCACTCACCATTTCAGAACACAGCTTCCCGAACTCTTGGAAGAAATCCTCTGGCGTTAACTCCCCTCGCATAAACTTCATCCAGGGTCCACTGTCCCTCCCGGCAATGAAGGCCTTCAGTATCGTTCCGGACGGGATGTTGTTCTGAGCCTCCCAGGCTAAAGGAAGTGGAAGATGCAGGAGGTGAAATACATCAGGCATGGACTGGGTTTGGGCACTCCAGTGCCTAGGTATCCCTGGGTGCCAGGGCGGGTACTGCTGGGAAATGAGGGAATTTCAGGAAAAGCGCACTCTGAACCTTAGACCACTCTAGAAAGTTGGACTCGTGACTGAGTGACTGCTGGGTGGGCATCAAGTCCTCACCACCTTGAGGGGCCTGATGGGCTTCCTCCTCGGCTTCTCAAATTCTGTTGTAAGAGAAACACCACTGTGGCCTTTGCTTGTTTAATCTCTTTTATTATCACAAGAGTGTGACTAAGACATGACCTATATGAAATCTACAGATCTTTCAAAAGGCATGCACATCATGCAGCGAACATGTGACATAGTCAATGGGCAACGTCTTAAGCGGTAAGAAGCAATGAAGTGAGTCAGCACCTTGTTGACTTAGTGCTACCATGAAATGTGTCTGACGTCTTCATTTTACTCTCCCCTATCTCTCATATTCTCTATGACTTTACTATCATCTTTATACATCACCGCTGTACAATTGTGCCTGCCAGGCCTGTGATGATTTGTTAGGGGCTGGCTCTCCTGACAATATCTCATAACCACGAGGGTCTTCCCCGACTGAAGCCAGCTTTCCAAGCCTATGATTAAGAGCACAGAGGATGGAGCTGCATTACATTCTCATCCAGCCTCTCAGTTTACCACGCCAGGTGACCCTATGTCTCAGAGTGGAGCTGTGCTCCGTGGGGTTGCCAAAAGCTGATTTGCCAGAAATAAATTGCCAGGCTTTTCTTCCTAGGTGCCTCTAGTAGACTCAGCCAGCCACCCTTCCAGTTAGCAGCTGAGCACGCAAACCATTTGTACCACCCTGGGACTCCTTATGATCCTATTTAAAACAAACATCAATACGCTGCTATTAAGTCAATTCAGACTCATAGGAATCCTATAGGATAAAGCAAAACTGTAAGGCTGTAAATCCTCCCACCCCCATCCCAGTTTTACTGGCACATAATCCACATCAGACAATTCAATCGTTCAGTCATGTCAAGAAGAATTGCACAATCATGACAAAATGTTTCAGAACATTTTCTCTCTCTGTTTCACCCCATGATTAAATCACCTTTAAAATGAGTTATGGCTGTAAATCTTTAAGTGAGCACACAGCCTCATCTTTCACCTGAGCTCTCTCATGAGAAGCAGCTGGTGGGTTTGAACTGCCAACTATCTGGTTACTAAACCAATGCTTAACCTGCTGCATCACCAGGTCTCTTTTGGACACTTAAAAAAAACACCCAGAACACTGTCACTGTGTTGATTCCAATGCATAGCTCCACCATACAAAGGGTCTCCTATGTAAAGGCTGTAAATCTTGTACAAATGAAGCAGATAGCTTCATTTTTCTCCCTTAGGCATGAACTGCCAACCTTACGGTTAATAGACTAGAACTTATCCAACAGTGCATCTGAGCTCCTGTAGCCAAACTCTCTGTAGAAAAGTGTATCAAAGAAACGAGGTGACAATCCATCCCAGTCTTCAGACGGAATCTGTGTTAATCATTGGGTGTCTAGCCTGGAGCCTAAGGAGCCTTTTCAGAACTCAGAATGACAATGCACCATTACTTTGAAAACTACACACTACACACTAGAGCATTTTTATGGGCGCAGAGCTGGCAGGCATGCAAGGGAGCTGGCACTCTTATATACTGTGGATAAGCATCCAACCTTGATGGCGAGAACAGTTTGGCAATTTCTGTTAAAATGTTTAGCGCGCACGTACATTTGACCTAGGAATTCCACTTCTAGGAACTTGTTCCACAGACAGATTTATAAAAGTGATGTACACAGCTGTGTGTGCAGAACTGCTTATAATAAAAACAACAAAACCCTACAAACTTACACGTGTGCTAGTAAAACCCCCAAAGAAAACCTATTGCCTTTCAGTTGATTCTGACCCATCTCAGCCTACAGGACAAGCAGAACTCTCATAGGGTTGCCCCGGCCATCATCTTTCTGGAAGCAGACTGCCTCATCCTTCTCCCAGGAGTACAACCTGCCAGCCTGTCAGCTAGCAGCCAAGTGCTTTAACCACTGTGCTACCAGGGCTCACTGTCATCTTGTTAGATCAATTGATTACAGTACATCTGTATAACAGAATACGATGCAGATGTTTTTTTACGTGGATGTTAAAAAGTAAGAATTCAATTTATGACTTGAGAGTCAAATCCAGCCAGCCTCTTGTCTATTTTTATAAATGAGTTGGCACACAAGCCAAGCCACCTTGTTTACACAGTGTCCACAGCTGCTTTCAAGGAGCCCTGGTGGCATGGTGGGTTACGCGCTGGGCTGCTGACCACAAGGTCGGCAGTTCCAACCCACTAGCCACTCCGAGGGAGAAGATGATTTACAGGCTCAGAAACCCAAAGGGGAAGTTCTACCCTGACCTATGGGATTGCCAGGAGACAAAATCGACTCAATTGATGGCGGTCAAAGAGTTTGTTTGTTTCTGATCGTCTTGATGAGCCCTGGTGGTGCAAGGGTTAAAATGCTCAGCTGCAAACAAGACAGTGACTGGTTTGGACTCATCAACTGCTCAGAGGGAGAAAAGTCCTGGCAATCTTGTTTGGTAAAGATTTAAGCCTGGGAACCTCTCTGAGGCTCTTTGAGAGGGAATCCACCCTGCAGCACCCCACAACGATGAACTCTGGCTGTGTTAGTGCGACTCCTGGGTTCAATGACAAAGTAATTGTAGTGATAATGGAGGTTATCTGGCTTTTAGTCTTCACTTATCAAAAAAACTTGATTTGGTACCCTTGAAATAAATACCATCAACATTTTGTGTTTATTTCAAAAAGGACAAAACAAGAAGCAGTACTCATTTGTTTATTCATCCACCCAGCAAACATTCCCTGCATGACTCAATGACCTCTGCGCTGGGCACAGGAACCAGAAAAACAAACAAACAAACAAACAAACAAACAAACAAATCCACATCAACCTCATAGTGGCCTGCAATAGGGTTTCTGAAACCTGACAGACTCATCGCTCATGAAGCAGCTGATGAGTTTGAACCTCCAACCTTGCAGTTAGCAGGCCAGGTATCAGGATAGGTGACGGGAATAAAGCCAGACCCAGACTCCTTGGATGACATGCTCTCCAGGGGAGGAGGTCACAGATGTTCTGACGTTAATACTAATAACAATCACAAGATTACACACTATTTATAAGATTCCAAGCACGGAACTGAGGAATAGCCCCATTTTTTTTTGTTTTTTTAACATTTTATTAGGGGCTCATACAACTGTTATCGCAATCCATACACACATCAATTGTGTAAAGCGCATTTGTACATCATTCTCAAAACATTTTCTCTCCACTTAAACCCCCGACATTAGGTCCTCATTTTCCCCCTCCCTCCCCGCTCCCCCCTCCCTCATGAGCCCTTGATAGTTTATAAATTGGTATTTTGTCATATCTTGCCCTGTCCGACGTCTCCCTTCACCCACTTTTCGGTTGTCTGTCCCCCAGGGAGGAGGTCACATATAGTTCCTTGTAATCAGAGGAATAGCCCGTTTAACTGGTCATTCAAAATATATGTTGGACTGCTAACCATAAGATCAGTGGTTCAAAAGCACCAGCTGCTCTGTGGGACAAAGATGAGGCTACCTAAAGATTTACAGATGCAGATATCTTAGAGCTTGCTATGAGTCGGAGTTGATCTGATGGCAGTGGACAGGGTCTGTGTGAGGTCACAGAAGCCCAAGTGTGGAAATAACCCATGTCCATCAACAGATGGATGGATAAACAAAATGAGATATGAATGTAGCAATGGAATATTACTCAGCCAGGAGCAAGCATACTTGAATTGATTTGGAGGGGAGGGGTGGGAAGGAGCGGCCATCCAGCCACTGCACTAAGTCCAAAGGACAGGCAGCAATGAGATCATCATGCCAGGAGGCAGAGTGGCGAAGCCGGATGGAGGAGGAGGTCAAACTGGGCATGAAGCAAACATGCTACATAGCTACAAGAGAGTGCCTGCATCCCTGGTCTGCATATTCTTAGCCCCAGACCACACCTAGGCATTTCTTCCCTGTTTGTCAAGGTAGGTTTCCTAATATGGGTGCCACTTGAAGATTATGTGGGAATTAGGCGTGTCCACCACCATGCTGTCAAAGATCCACATGTAGTTTTTACTTCCCCCAAAAGTAACTGCTAATAGCCTACTGTTGGCCTTACAAAGTTGATGGAACACTTGGTCTGAATGTTACACATATTATCCCCTGCACCCACATGAAATCTGCATCTTCCAGGAGCCCAGTAGTATAGTGGATTGATTGCTGGACTGCAAACCCCAAGGTCAGTAGTTGGAACCCACGAGCCATTCCTTGGAGGAAAGATGAAGATTTTTAAAAAAAATCTGAATTTTCACTATCAGATAAAGGGGCATTGTACAAAAAAAGTGTAAGGATTTCCACGAGTGCTGGCATACCTGCAGCAACAACATCACCCATTTCCTTTCCTTCTTTTACAAAAGTCCTTCTGCTGGATTCAAAGTGGTGGCAACCACAGCGGCAGACCTCAATCTCCGATACGGAGCAAGCCATTCCACTTTTCCTGATAACGTCCTGACTTTCCTCTGCCCCCTGGGAGCCCTTCTAGCATCACTCTGGCCTTATCATACGGGCCCCCTGGTGTCATTCAAGGTTTACAGTCTTCAAATACAAGCAAGTCTTCAAACAGTTCATAGAGACCTGGCATTAGCAATGAATGGAATTTTCCCATGAGCACTGTGAAGGCCCCTGGTCCACCCATGAGAGCCACTCAGCATCCCTTCGTACCATGACGTGTAATTTACTGAAGAGAAGCTGCTCACGCGGAGAAGATTGGTGTCACAGGCTGCTTAAAAAAAAAAAAAATCCTAGTGGACCCATGCTGTCCAAACTCGTGTGGTTCAAAGGTCAGCTGCACTAGTGGCCAAAACTAAGAGAATTCAAGCATGTGGAATATAAATTCTAAACTGAGTCAGTAAAGTACAACAAAGACGGGGCTGAGAAAGAGAATGGGTGAAAAGAGACTAACTGTTGGGTGTGACAAAAGGGAGGGAGGCTAGTGAGGGTGGGAACGCCAGCATTCAAGATTTCAGACACAACACTGCTCCCAGGAAAGGATGGGGCTTCTTAGCTGCCATCACGCTCAACCTCTGGGTTCTACCTAGGGGGAGAGTGTGCTCATTGCTTACGTTCTGGCTGTGGCCTATGACATGAATCTGGTGTCCCTGCTCCTGTACATTCTCATCTTTGTGTTAAACTCATTCCTGACCGTTTGATCTCCAGAGGTGATTCTTTAAAGCAGCACAGTATGTATGAGTGCCAGTTACTCTCTGGTCCAGTCTGTTGTTTATCGATAAGGTGACCACAGGGGGGAGTTGGAGTTGGAATTGAAGGGTTGAAGAAAACCTCAAGGTGATTGCCAGGGAGTCCTCCAATTTCAACCAGTCTCAGAGTTCTGCATTTTTTGTTGGCTTGGAATTTGTAATCCTATGACGTTATGGTCCACACTTTTCTCCCATCCTATTGGGATCCATCAACTGGAATGGTCAGCAGTGACAGCTAGGCACCATCTAGTTTTCCTGATCTCGGGGCTAGATTAGGCAATGGTTTGTGCACGTCTACTTGTCCTGAAGCCTAGTTTCTTGCTTGAGTCTTTGTTTTCTTCTCTCTCTTTGGCACTAAACTTTGATCAAAGCAGCAATAACTATGGTAGCTACTTTTTTCCATTGAAAATTGAATACTTAGTGTGCTAAACAAGTGCTTATCTCATGTAACTCACAAAATCCCAAGGCAGTAGGTACTATTATTGGCTTTAACATAAGGGTTAGGAAAATGAGTCGCTTGGGCACTAAATTGTACTTAGAATTTGATTAGAGAGCCAAAGCATCGGCGCACTGGGATATGCTGCTACCCAAATGGTCTTCTCTGCCCCCCTTACACCAGAATCCCAGCTGCCACGGAGTTGATTCAAATTCCCATGGAGCCCATGGGAGTCAGACAGAACTGTGCTCCGTGATGGCTGGTTTGTTCAGCAGTAGATTGCCAGGCCTGGCTTCTGAGGAGCCTACAGGTGGACTCAAACCAATATGCTAACCATTTACACGACCCAGGGGATCCCTCTGACCTCTGAACACCCTACACCCACCCTTACCCCCGCCTCAGAAAGGGAAACCGAAGGAAGAACTCACCTGGGGCCAAGCTCCCTGGAGAAGGAATGAGAACACCACCCATGTCAAAGATCACTGCTCTGAAGGGGCTGCCTCCAGAGTGCATCCATCGGTGGGGTCCCGGGGGCTGGCTCTGGCCCTGCTTTCGGAGGGCGGCCCTCCATGCCCCCTGGAGATTCGAGGCCTGGAAGAGCCTAAGAAGGCACATGCTGAGGCCGAAGCTGTGTGAGAGGAAGACAGAGGAACAGCTAGCCCTCCTGCCTCTATTTCTGGAGCTCAGCAGGGCTCAGGGAGTGGCCAACATTTCAACCCACACCCAGAATGGAACCAAATCTCCCTTTCCCCGGCCACTCCTTTTTCTAAGTCCCTTAGCTCAGTTAAGGTCCCACCACCCATCCAACTGCCTTCCCCAGGACTTTCCCACCCTTAGCTGAGCCACCTTCTCTCCTGGTGTCCTATTCTGCCAGTTTTCCCTCCTGACACTCTCCATTCTCCTTGCTGTCACTCGACACACATCTTCTCCACCCCTAGGTGGTCCCCTGCCTCTTCTTAAACCACCCACCACAAATTCTGTAGTTTCCACACTATCTAAAACCCTTGCTATGAATCAGAACCCACTCAACGGAACCTCACGACGCAAACAACAACAACAACTGTGCAACAACAAATGAGAAAATCTTAATGCCTTTTCATGTGAACTCTGTGTGGCTGCAACAATGGGTTCAAATATAGCGATGTTTGTGAGGCTGGGTCAGGGCTGGACAGTGTGTTATTCTGTTGTAGGGTCGCTGTGGGTTGGGAAGGAGTTGGTAACAACAAATAACAACATAGTTTAAAAGCCTGCTCTGCAAAGTGTGGAGCAAAACAAGTTAGTGATTCCCCGAGTTTCTGGGAGAGCTACCTCAGTGCCACGAGGAGGTAAGAAACCGAGAGTCTAAAGAAGGGAATCTAACGTAGTGGATCTTCAAAATGATGCCAGGTGTTTCTCCCATCATTGAAGCTTTGCTGAACTTGAGAGTGATTTTTGAAATCAAAAGCCGAAGTTGATTTGCATTTTCGTCTGCTCCACTTCCATTCCTAAGCGAAGCTGGAGTTTCTGATGGAAGGGGAAATTGATTTATAGGCTTGTGAAAGCACCAACACATTTTGTGTGAGGGCTTAACATCCGTGAGCAGTATCTCTGGGACCCGAAGGGTGGACGCTAATCCTCCCCAGGACGCTGCACTCCACATCCTCCCACTAATGGACAAGTGGGCAATGCTCCCTCCAGGGCTGGCTTACTCCTTCCAACTCCACTTGACACCTCCCAGCACGTTCTTCCGAGAGGATACTGCTGTGATTTCTCAGACCTCGGGCCTTGGGAGCTGTCATGCCCATAGACTGGGATGGCAACTCTCTTCCCTGCTTTCTCTGCCCAGGGAACTGCCAACCTCCTCACAGCACAACCTATTATATGTCCTCAGTGGAGGTGCTCTGCCTCTTCCCAGGAAGACTCTTGGTGCTGTGTCACTTCAGGTACATTCTGACCCAATGACCCCGAGCGGACAGAGTGGGACTGTCCCAGATGGTTTCCTGGGCTGCAATAGTTATGACAGCAAACCAGAGAACTGCTGCTAAGTTCACACTGAGCTTAACCCCTGCTTCTTCCTCATCCCTCTTCCTTTCCCTCCTTTTGCTGCTTCTCCACACCTCTGGTAGAGCACTTACCCCAGGACACAGTAGCAGTGTCCATGCCTATCTGGTGCTAGAATTGTAAGCTCCTTACGACAAGGAGAATGTCTTGTTTGTCTCTGTATTCACCCATCCCCTGGGGTCTAGCACAAGGCCTGGGCTCATCGCAGGTACTCAGCACAAATATATATGAAAAGGATGAATAAATAGGGTGAACAGAAAGTAGGAGTGGGAGAGAACACACTCAGTTGTTGGCAGCCACAAAGCTAACATGCGCAATGCCCATCTCTGGCTAACAACTCTAGTTCTCTGGGCTGGCACCATTCTTCTGGACTATAAAGATCTGTCTCCTCCCTGCCTCCTAGAATTATGAGATTAGAATGATCAGGTTGCTTTTTCTACTTAAGTATGTGTTGTCAGCTATTTAGTTCAGTGATAAGGAGGTTGGGTTCTGGAATCAGATGGATCAGGTTCAAATTCTAGTCCTCCCACTTATTAGCTGTGAGATCATGGGCAAGTTGATCTTTCTGAGCCTCAAATCCTTCCTCTGGAAAATGGAGGTAATTAGAGTACCTATCTCTGCATTGTTCCCAATACACAAGATAATTAAAGTATATAGAACACTCAAGTTAGTATCTGGCACACTGTTCAATGTGATCAATTGTGGGGTTAAGGAGAGGGGTACCCCACAAATCATCACAGGTCCAGTAGGAATAATTGTACAGCGATAATAAGTAAAGATTATAGTAAAGTCATAGAGAGCATGAGAGGTAGAAGATAGAGTCAAGTAATGTCAGACACAATTCATGGTAGCATTGCTCACCTCAGCCCCGCTTGATGGTCCATGGGGGGAGCCCAGCCGGGAGAGCAGGAGAACCCTCAGGCTCTCGAGAACCGGGGAGAGCTTTCTTTTTATTGCTAACCAAGCATTATATCTCTTTAGGGGGACATGATTACAGGTAACTACACGTCACAGGAAGGGGCAGTACAATAGGCATACACATTGTAGGAAGGGGATCTATCATTGGCATAAGCATGACAAGAAAGGGGATGAGCTAGGGGTGTGCCCATAAGAATGGGCAGGTCTAGGGGTATACATGTGACAAGATGGGCAGACCCTAGATTCATGATGGCAGCCTAACCTTGGTCATCCTTGGGCGGGTTTGACCTCTCTGGGGTCTCCTACAAGGAAACAGACAACTACTATCCTATCAGAAGGGAGTGGGCCCTACTTGTTGTGGGATAAACAGTGGTGCCTGCTTGGTCTAGATGGCTGATAGCTCTTGGGAAGAATGACATCTATCTACTCCTGATGACCCCCAAGTGAACAGTCATTCTCAAGCAGCTAAGTCTGGCATATATTTGGGGGAGACAACTTGAGAGAAATCCTTCTGTTTCCCATAATCGATTGCTGTAATAGACTATAAAAAGTTCACAAGGTATTCCCTGTGAGATATGTACATAGATATGCATATGCATATAAACCAGTGACTTTTCCACCAGGGTGATTTTGACCCCAGGGGGTTTGGGGGTTTTCATTGTCACCACTTCCAGGCTCAACATCCTACAATACATATGACACTGCCCCACAAAGAATGCTCTACACCCAAAAGATCCGTAGCATTAAGATGGAAAAAACCATGACATACAGTGTGCCCTGAAATAAATGTTAAAGGATACAATCATAAGCTACAGAAACACACAGCTCATGCGGTTGTATTATTCACAGCCCATGTACCTACACTTGTCCATGACTTGATGTGACACAACTTGAGTATCGTTATAGTATATTTTTAGGATAGCAGACAGTGGTGATCCACTGGAAGGTGAGGCTGTCTGCTCCCTTAAGTATTTAGTCTTGCAACATTCCCTAGAGCTGTTTTACTCTACTCTATCCAGACTCTAAAGGAGCCCTGGTGGTGTGGATTCCCAAGGTCATCAGTTTTAAACCATGGGGGGGCTCCACAGGAGATGGACGAAGCTTTCTACTCCTGTAAAAAGTTAGGCTGGGAAAGCCACAGGGGCAGTTCTACCCTATAGGATTGCCATGATTCGGATTCCACTCGATGGCAGTGAGTTTGACTTTTTCGTTTCATAGGTTCTCCAAGGGATGACACCGCATGGATGACAATGGGTTTGTTTTGGGTTAATATAATGCTAAAGGGCAGTCTGACTTAAAAGTTAAGGTACCCTGCATGAGTATCCTAACTGCATTTCATATTATCTTCACCACCACCGTTAGGAGGATAATCCCACCTTTATGTCTGGTTAGCTCAAGGTCACATAACTGTAATGAAGGTCGGCTCCATCAGGGGCAGGAACTGTGAAGCGAGGTCTCTGGCACTTAACACGCCCTCTGCCCACTGGGTCAGAAAGCAGGAACCGGGTCCCCTGCCCCGGAGCCCCAGGGAAGCGACTTCATCTCGCTGAACCCCCGGTAAAGCGGGGCTGTAACAAAGCAGCCCTGCCCAAGGCTGGCGAGAAGTGTCACACGAGCCAACCGCGGCCAGAGCGCTCGCGAACCCGCGGCGCCCGAGACACGGGACCCCCGACTCGGGCGGGCTGCGGACGCCTCCCGGGTGAGGGGGACGTTAACTCGGGCCCGGGAGCCAAGCGCCGGCCCTCAACCTCGCCACCCCGCCTCCCACCCCCCATCCCCC